TCCAGACCCCAGACCCTTTCTGGGGCCCTGGAGTCCATTCCGCACAAACACCAACTCCACCCGCGGATCCTACAGACCCTTAGCGATTCCCAACACCCTGAACCGATCCTGCAAGGCCCTCCACGATGCCCAAGAACCTTCACACATCCCTCCCTCCCACACATCCTCCTCTTCCACACAACCCCCCCACCCCCACCCCCCACCGATCTCCACGACCCCGAACAGATCCCGCAATGCCCTTCAAGATCTGCCCCCACGATCGCAAATCCCCCTCAGAGATCGAAGATAGGACAAAAGCTTCTGATCCGCAAGACCTGCCGTTGCTATTTAAAGTTGATCAGAGAGAGGGATAGCAGACAGCAGACCGATGAGAGAGAGCGGTAGAGGAAAAGAAAAGAAAAGCGCAAACGGTAAGTTTGCAGATATCCCCACAAAGGGAGCATTTTGATCCTGGTTGGCGAGGGTGGAGTGGGATGTAAACGAACGAATAGATTGGGGGAGTTTTTTAACGTTTTGGTATTGCTTGCTTTGCTTGCTTGCATACTTGCTTGCATTCTTCCATGCATCCAAGAAATACCCCCACGACCCTCTCTGAATAGACCAAAAAAAGGCAAAAGTGAAAAAGTGTGCTGCATAACCTTTCACCACGGCGCGGCGGAACCAAAAAACCCATCCTCGCCCCCCACCCCGACCAGGAAAAAAAACAGATCACGGACTATAGCACGCATGATATGCAGCCAGATTTCCACGAGCCGAACGGTACGACACTGGCGAGTGTGGTAATCGCGCAGCGAACCGAGCCGTTCTATTCAAACTCAACTTTAAATAAAGAGCTACGATGGTGACAGAATGAAAATAAGATGATGCAAAGACCAGAAAAAGAAAAAAACTCTTTTGCTGTTATGCTTAGAGTTTCGGTGATGTGTGCATGTATGCATGTATGTGTGTATATATGTGAGTGTAAAGTTGTGTTTGGGCCGGGGGCCTTGCTGACACAGTGACACATTTTGCGCATGTGTACAAACGTACATGTCTTTCAAAGCTTGGAGCAGGTGCAATAGTTTGAGTGTGGGTGGATACCCCATATCTCACGAAAATATGAAATACCAGTACCGGTAGGTTCACCAGGGGGGAGGGGTAAGATATGGTATCCGCATCGCGTGCATGGTAGGGAGATAGATTTTCCACATTGACATGTCCAAAGTCTGTTTTTCTTTTTGCCTTTTTTTTGCACAACGCACATGTTCAAGGCCAGTTTTAATACGTCTGTCGCCAAAATTGGTTTGGTTGTTCATCGGTGGGCAAGCGCGCGACAATGCGCAACGCATCAAAGCATACAGATTCCAGGAACCTGGGGTGACGCGGATAAACGTGCAACATGGTAACGATGCGAGCGTGAACGACGATGATCAGGCAATTCGTGAACCGGCCTGTCTCGGATGCTTGGCTGTCTGTCAGTTGTGGTTGTGCTGGGAGATGTCTCAGTAGATGGGAGAAGAACGCGTCTTTGCTACCTACCGGTACGGGTGTGCTTGAGGCGCTAAGGTGCAACGGGGCTGGACAATTGAACTCACGCGTGTCTCGACGTGGGATGATTGCGTGATCGGTTGCAAGTATCCAACTGCCGAGACGAGCTTCACACAGCAGTATGTACAATACTGTTGTTGATTCTTTGTCCACTGGGCCCAGTATAGGGGCGGTGCAAGTTCAAAGCCTTGGAAGCCCCACAGGCTCATTGTCTAGTATTCTACAGTATATCATACAACCGCTTGTTGTATAGCGAGACAAATGGGCCATTGGCAAGGACAGAATGTCTCCGTTCCAAGGAGTCTCGACGTCTATATCCTGAGCAGGCTGTCGTAATCAACACTGCATGGAAAAAAATTCGTCCATGTCTGAACCGATGATTCCGTGGTTCGGTCAATCTCTCGTGACTCGTTCCCAAATTCCCAGATAAATTGCCAAGCTGTAGCGGATTTCGCCCGTCGGGGAAGGTACCAAGTCTGAGGGCAGACCAAAGTAAGACATCGCATACGCACACAACGCAAAGTCGACTCAGCTCTCTGTTGCTTCCCAGGTATTCGACAAATACGTGGAAAGCAGTGCCACGTAAGACTCATGATTCGGTAGTACCGGCAAGCACTGAGAGATGCGATCGTCAACACGAGGCTCCGGCCTCGTGCGCTCTTCCCAGATAGAGAGAGCGTGGTGTGCCGGTACCCATGCAAAGGACCGACTGAACCTTGTTGGCCGATCAACAGCGGCCCGATTCTTGACCCGAATCGGATGGGAGCATGGACACCCGGCGGACGTTATGGATTCCCGTTGGCAAGATCCCCAAGGGCGGCTGAATGAGATTAGAGGAACAGTGCCGTGCTCATGCGTATGCTGATCCAGAAGTGTTGTATGTGATTGTACTCGGTAGGTAGCAAGTGTAGTGTCGGAGTCGGCATCTGAGAGAAGGTTTGTAAGTGCCCAGTGTGTGTGTACAGGCCTGTCCCGTGAGATTCAGTAGTCTGCCTTTCCATCCAGCTGGCCCCCAGAGCCTCGTCATGCCCAATGCATTATTACTCAGGGTTAACTGGCTGAAGTTTGTAATTACTTCATCTGTTCGTCACTTGGAAGTCTTGGGACCAAGATTCATGCTCAGGGTCTTCAAAAAGGGATCAGGAGGAAAGGCATCCCTCGCCCGAGGAATCTCGAATCGTCAACGGTGATAAGCGCAAACTTTGAGTTCAGTTCGCGTTTGGGCAGCAGCGGTAGAGGAGGTGGTTTAGGTCCCCCGCAATTGTGCCACCTCCCTCCTTGCTGGGGTCAGAAATGGGCCCGTCCGCACTCGGGTTAGGGTTAGGGTTAGGGTTAGGGTTACAGCCCTCGTCATTTCATCCGCACAAGAAGAGCTTCGCAAATTGCTTGCTGGTAAGTACGAAGGTAACATTCCGTCATCTCAACAGATCTGACCACAATGAAGTGACCATAATGAGGCGACTTTGTGGCTGATGGTCGACACTTGTAGTACATAGATGAAACCCCGAAACGACCTCAAGCCACATGGACATGGCGGCCCATGTTTCAGATTGTTCTGGTTGAAGGGCCTCGACAACTCCCTCCTGAGCGGTGGTGAGAAAGGCCCGTGTGAAGTGTGAGCAATGGTGCACAGCCTTGCAGTCATCCAATGGCTCCGATGCAATAAATTGCCTTTTATGGACAACCACAATTACTGAAATGCCGAATCTGGACGAAAAGCCATTTACCAGCGGAGTCGGAGTAAGTTGCTGAGTGCTCAACTGGACACTTACAACGATCATGCTGGTTCCTCGCTCGCTGATGTTGCAGTAAGTATTAACGGAGTGCTTTGATCAGATTAGAATGATTTCTATACGAGACTGTCAAGCCAATTCCCCGCAACCCCACGAATTTGGTCCAACATCACTCCTCCCCTGAAACATAGATGTAGAATTTGATCTCGATGAGGGCACTCTTGGTCTGCTGCCTCGCTATGAGAACATATCTACAAAGGCTCGCTGAAACAATGATACCACTTCCTTGGGACTAGATGGAGAATGTGAGCGAGCTTGTGTTGTTGGTTCTGCCAAAGTCAAAGTCTCGTCACTCTAGCGTGGCGAACGATGCACGGCTCTTTCAAGGAACAAGGAAGGCGTCAACGAATATGGCGATAGGAGCGCGGCAACCGGAAGCTTGTTCAATTTTTCAAAGTATCTGTGTGCCAGCTCAGTCCAGTCGGGTGACTAGCTGGACGTTTCGACATGCCCTACCCTGCACGCGAAGAGCTTATCACCAACGGGCAGATCAACAAGACAACGGTGGATTAAGAACATTCTACGGCACCTGGAAATTGGGAGGCGTTGTCTGGTGTGTATGGCTACCACAGATGTGACCTCATGGTCGCAAACAAGTTCAGCCTTTTTTTTAAGGTGAAGAGGGGGGGGACTGGAGGCATTGATCTTGCCACTAGAATGTTGGAAGTCGTGCCAAGAAGAGACGATCATTGCTTGTCAGTGTGCAAATGTATGTCGAGCTCGCAATGGAGTGATTATTCGGTTGAAATCTTTCTTCGCTACACTGCACAGAATGTGATGTGATTAGCAGGGCGCCGATAGTCATACTCAGATAGTAAGCAAGCGCACATTGCTGATGCATGTCTCGTGCAGTAGGGAGCTCTGCGCGACATTGTTGCTCTAGAGGCTGGTCGTTGGCACGAGCCGTGAATTAATTTTAAGGATGCCTCAGTCGGCAACGGCCGATTTCCAGGGCGGCGGAGTTGGTGCCGATGCTTCCCATACGTCTTAACCTGCAAAACACCAGCGACCTCGTCCAGGTTCCAGAATGAAAAGAGGCGCCCTACAAATAGAACCGGCTTATGAAACCGCTGTTCGTCGAGTGAACGGCTATGGATCGCCGCACAGAGCTGCGTTTGACGTTCGCCTGAGGCGCGCGAGCATGCAGGCCGTCACACTGGTGTGGCGCACAGGCGGCGGTGACGCATCACGAATCCAGCCAGGATGCATCATGCTGGAGACGTGCAGGTCTTGATGTCGAGATGTCGTCCTTCCAATAGCCAAAGTCTCGGCCCGGATCGACAGTACACCTGGATTTGGACTGTGGGGCTTATTGGCAGATCTATGGCATTCCTAGACGATCTACTCTGCCTCTAGCCCTTTAGTGGACCATTCATGGCGCAAGCCAAACGAGTGCAATAAACTTTTGAGAACACCAGTCTGTGCGAGTACACAAGTAGAGGACTGAGCGTTGCCGTTTGTGGACTGAATGATATATTCATCGTACTTGTTTCGTACATGCGGAGTGAAAATGTTGCCTGTGGATTGTCAAGAAGAGGAGTTGCGGCAAGACAACTAGACTGACCTAACCGACGAGTTGCGTCACGCTTTTCATTTACTCAGAGCAAGTGTTTCCGTGGTAGAAAATAACTGTTCGTGGCTCGGGAAACATGTACGTCGTTCAGAGAGTGTTCATTTTCCCCCATGCTCAAATGAACGGTCCTGTTCAAGGATCAGGGTCCGGAGAGACGCGTGTTAAACTATACACAGGATAACAGACACACATCCAACCTGTGATTCAAGTGGCGTCTGTATGTACACTTCTGGCTATAGAGAAGCGGCCCGTGGCATGCGCCACGGCTTGACGATTTAGTTGTCTGCCAAGCCCCCTCCCCATCCAGGTCATGTTCGGCAACAATACGGAGACAGGAGAGATGTAGCAAACCATTTTTGACTCGATAGACTCTGGCATAAGAATGAAATAATAGAGTATGTCGTTGTATCTTAATGTTCCAATATTTTTGTTACGGACCGAGGGCTTTGCAATGGTTTACAACGGCCGTGAATGATCGATTCGGGGGAGCTGTAACGTACTCAAAGCTCACATAGTCTCAGCGTGACAGTGAGCTATCCGGTTTTCTGTGATGAAAACAATGAAGCGGTGTTTGTCGTATTCTCGATCATTCATGATGCGCGTTCAAATTACCGCAATAGTAATTAGAAGCATCGCTTGGCCACACTTCCTCACAACCTGATACAGCTGTGGTATGACATCGGACCTAAAGCACCGGAGCTGCGCAGAAGCACTCGAGTCCAAACTGTTCATCGAAAAGGGTGTAGAACTTCGAAAAGGCCTTGTAGACTGTGGTTTGTTTCAGGAGGTGCCTGGATATGTTGTGAAGCAACGATTAGACGCCAAGTTGAAGGTATCTACTATTACTGTTTCCTGCAGATGCTTGTAGCCAGATTTGAGCGAGCCTGGAAGTGTGGAAATGCTTCTTTCATTCAACGACTGGACTGAGGATCATATGCTTGGAGCCTGCCCGTGATGAGACATACTCGTGATCGCTGAAGCTATCAGTCGACCTCCGATATGCAGTCGTAATGCAGATGCCTCGTATCTTTCGAACATGTCGGCAGTTCTACGGCTCTGCTCATTGGTAGCAGACACGGGCTGTGTCGTTGTTGCAGAGAGCTACTGTCGACAACGGACCATATCTGCGCAAACGAGGACTGACTCACAAAGCAACGACAGAAGCCGCGGGCAACGTCCGATGGCTGTTCCTGAATCATGACCGGAAAATGGTTGTTCTGCTCTTGACCCAGTGTAGTGAAGGTCCGGGCTTGCGATTGATGGAGAGCGGGGTTGTTGTTCTTGCAAGCATTAGTCGTACGATGAAAATGCTGAATGGCTGGGTCACAAATCAAGTTCGGACGACAAGACTGTATTCTCTACACTCATCATTGACTATCCTTCTCCGCGGGTTATGGTGGGATGAAGTACAACTGACCCCCCAATTTTTTTCGTGACCATGAGTCAAATTTGAAGATGTTTTACAACGAATGATCTGAAAAAGGAATTGTGTGACTCGCTCTGTGATTGAACAAATGACGTACTATTACGGCGTCTTCGGATATGATGAGACACATGCGCAGGTACCCCTATAACTGACGTGATATGATCATCTTCACTAACGATAACCCCCGTACGTAAATGTCGCTCGCCAAGGCACAAGTGGACGTTGGCCTGTGGTGTCGACTTTTGAAGGACGCATAGAGTGATGCCATGCTCACAGCCTCTTGATGACTGCGAGCCATTTCATGTACGGAGGCGCGAGAAGGCAAAGGCGTGCCCTGCGCTCAGCGCGCATGTCCTATGACATGGCAGAGCCTCGCGGATGTTGATCGTCATTCCGAGATGGACGGTGATCTCAACCGGAGGCTAACGAGGAGATATTGATAGAGAGAGCTGGGGGAGTGTGGTTCAGCGGTTGCTAGACCAAAGGGGGAAGTATTCAGGGCCACATTCGGCCAAAAAGAGGGAAGTGGAGACGTGAGGTAGTGTCGATGCTGAATCGCGGACTGCCACTAAGCCACTGTTCTGTCCGGGCGAGCCGAATTTGCAGTGCATTACTGGCGTATTGACGGACGACGGCATCTTGCGTATCGTGCTTGTTGCTCCTTTGTCCCCGCCAAGGATTTGGGACTTTGACGTCCCTGAGGAGCGTTGTAGAGTGGGTGGCATGTTTCACACTATACGTTATTTCATGGACACACGTCGGGAGCTCCCATGTTCTTTAGCTTTTGTTTTTATGGCAGGCATTGGCAGTAATCGGAGAAAGAGTGTTTGGTGGAGGCTGTCGCCGTGGCTCAACCCTACTTTGGTCCGGTGAGCGACGCTGGCGCATGGCTATGTACTGTACACATGGGACCTACATAGGTAGTACCCAGAGTACCTACCTACTATGGTACTGCGGCGACAAGGGCCCAGGATGACAACCGCCATTGCGAACCTGCTTCATGCAGCAGGCCTTTGTGCAGATGGACCAGGACAGGCTGGGCTTAAGGAGTCCAAGGTTACCTATCAGTGGCGTCACGGTCGTGGACCGACCCACCTCCAGATGCCTGACGAGCGTCGAGGCAGCACGATGCGACCAGGGGGAGGGTTGATTTACTTTGGTTGGTTGCACCGAGCCACGGGGGGAATGCGTAGGTGCTAAGGGTAGTAAGCAGCAGTGGTAGTGAAAGCGCGGAGGCCAGACTTGGCCGTGTGGGAGTGGGCGGGAGCTGACGCCGCTGGAGGGGCTGACTGGGCCACCAATAGCCCCCAGAGAAAGAGAAGGCCCCTGCCATGGATGGCCTGTCTTCTAGAAAGAGGGCCTGCAAATCCTTGGACATGAATCATGGTACACAGTATGTACTAGGTAGTACCTATCAGTAC